TGTTTTAATTGTGGCTGTTGCAGCATCAATATCAGTTTGAAGCTCAAGCTTTTCCATTTTAGCTCTGATATTGGCTTTCATTGCTTCCAGGTCAGCTTCTTGTTTTTCAGGTGAGTGTTTCTGTGATAAGGCAGCAGCGCGTGATATGAGCGCAGCTCTCTCTGCCTCTGCCTTTCTTCTTACTGATGAAGATGTTGAAGATGTATTGCTGCCACTGGAACTTTTACCTTTTCTGCTTATCATGCCCACTGATATTGCTTTATGTTGACTTGACATATATGCAGTATATGAGTCATGGTCAGAAGGAGGCACATTCTCAAAGGAGGCAGCTCTAGCTAACCATCTCTTCATCACATCTTGAAACTCATTAAAATATGCAATTTTTGGGAGATACCAGTCAACATGATCACTTTCTTGTTCTTGCTCCCACAGCATTTCTTGCACTGAGTGATGTGAGTTTGAAAACTCTTTGGAGAGAATTTGAAAAACCCCAATACAACTTTGCATCTCAATGATGTTCCCATAATCAATCATGAGTGAATCAATCTCCTTTTCTTTCCTTGAGACTTGACCCAATTTTGTTTTCCTTTTTTTTTTATTAACTGCACCAGCTTAGCTTCTAAAGCCTTTTCTGTAGGTCGTATTGTTCTTTTTGGTCTGACGTCAGCATTTTCCACAGGCACTTCACGTTTGGGTCCATAGGAGTTTAATTCGATTCCACATTTTCCTTTTCAGCCATTATTATGCTTTATTGTCATTTAACATACACGTGTAAATAGCTTTCCTTATTTTAATGTTGCGCTTTGTTATTGTGCGGCTTGGATCTGTGGCAGTAAGTCAGATGGACAACATTATTAAAGCGCTTTTCAAGATGCACTCCTTGAATTACGTTCCACACTTTATTCATAAGCAAATTTGTTCCACTTCCAGCATTAGACTATAATGTATTGCAACATCCACAACATGTGGCACAAGACTTTTTCCACAGAAATCCACGTTGTCACAATCCAGAATGTCAATGCGGTCCTTCCGTGTTCACTTTGAAGTGCGTGATTTATAAACTCACGATTCACATCTGCTCGTATCCATTCATTTCCAAGAGTATTTAATTGATTCTATAATATTGTGGCAACCATTTAATTCCACACGGATTTGTCCGTTACGAGAGTTTTTAACAATGTTGTGGCTTCCTTCCTTGTCTTTCCATCAAGCCACTAGACCTCTTAAACAGACAGTTCTAACTTGTTTCTTTCCCTTAAATTACTCACAGTTTGAAGAGCTGCTTGGCCTCCGATCATACTTGTCAACCCTCCCGATTTTCGTGGGAGACTCCCGATGTCATTGCCCTCTCCCGGTTTCCTCCCGGGGTCATATTTCTCCCGCATTTCTCCCAATTTCTGACAAAATCAGATTTACTCAGGACTGTTTACACTCGGACTTTAATACAGCTACTACTGTTTGGTTTCCATGGTACCACGTCTCTTTAGTAGCGCGCGCAACTGAAAGTCTGAGAGGGTGAGGCACAGAACACAGAACAAGAATCGACAACTCTACTCTCTGCTCACTCCTTTCCAGCCCACACATCTAATACAGCTCCGGCGATCTACTAGCACCCCCCCCCCCCCCCCCCCCCCCCCCCCCGCGGTGGTTTTGAAATGCTCCCTCCGATGGTTTAGATGATGTTGCAAAATAAAATAACAAACTTTTGCGCATGCAACAACAAAAATAGGCCTTTATAATATTCACATAAATGAGCAAAAACTCAAGTAATATAATAAACAACTTAGGTATTCTTTCTTTCTTAATAATGCTTATATAACTTCATAACTTAAAGGGTACTTGTACGTGTAGGGTTAAAAACTGTTCCTCTACGGCGTTTCTTAAACAGGTTGCCCATCACTGTGGCTTTAGCACAGGCGCCGTGGGAATTGTAGTGCGTTGACTACAGACGTCACAATTAGGTGGCCTTTCTTATAAAATCTAAATTCTGGCTCTAACACATATATCATTGAAATCTGTGGAATCTCAGCTTTCATAAGATATCTTGTTTGTGCAGATCCAATGAAGTATAAAATATGTCTATAGTGAGTTATGTGCTAAGTGCGTTAGCACTCTTTCGCTTAGTGCTAATTCAGAGGCTCGGCATTAGACTTGTGTTTTGTTTTGGTAAAAATGGTTCATATCATCAGGTAGCTGAGTTTTTTTCCCGTTAAGTGGGTATTCATAGTTTGTTAAAAAGCCCTCAGACGCTGTTTCTTGCAAGATGTTGCAGCAGCCCGGGCTAAACGGGTTAAATACCAACCGACTGTGCTATATGTGAGATATATATTTATGCCATTAATAACTGTGCAATATATACCTGGCTGCTAAATCCTAAGAACTGTTACAGGATCTGTATTTTGTAAATTGTGTAACTTTTTTTTTTTTTATTATATTTTTTATTATATAATTTCTTCTTTTTTTTTTTTACATTATTAATTTTTAACCTGTTAAGCCCAGAGCCTGTTTTTCAGGCCTCAGGCTCAAAAATGACATTCCCAGAACAAATGACTAAACTTCCCTTCTAAAAGGGGTAAATGAATAGTCTGTTTTCTCAAAGCAATGATAAACCTGTGAGTTGGATGTAGAAAAGTCAGAATCAATATAGAATTTTTTTTATTTTAATGTAAATTCAGATTGAACAAAGTAAAAAAATGTAAATGATAGTGTCCGTCCAAAAAAAACACATTACTTATAGTGACAACCACCCTTGAATGATGGGATCAGAGACTAACAACTTTAGGAATCCAAACTATAACATATAAGTACCCTGTATCAAGATTGATGCAAAGCAAGTGACATTTTACCTTTTTAGAGAGGTTTAGCAACAAAAAAACACTTCTGGGGTCATTTGGGTGGATTTTCCATATTGGTCCATGTTGATGATTGACACCTCTTTTGAACCATTAGAGTCAATAGAATCGAGGGGAAGTCCCTAAAATCCAGAATGCCCAAAACCGGAAGCTGTCATACACTCTCGTAGCTATCATTAGTAGCTAATACGAAAACTCCGTTATTGACATAAATATGGTGATGGATTATCAGTAATCATTCAAAGTGACACAGACACATTGGATTAACCTTCAGCAGCGTTTTTATCCTTTTAATGCCATTGATCACAACTTTTGATCAGAAACAGCAAAAGGTAAGACATATTTCCCGTGTTTGCTCCGTAAAGCTACGTGGTGTGATGTCTGGGTTTGCTTCCCCTGGTGCAAATTTTGATCGCTCACTGATGATACTTATATTTCTAGAATCTATGGAATCTCAGCTTGCTTGCTGATATCTTGTTTGTGCAGATTCGATAAGTAATGAGGGTATTTTAGCGTGAGTTCTAAGCTAAGTGCGTTAGCATTTTTTCGCTCAGGGCTAATTCAGAGCCTTTGTTATTACCCTTGTTTCATTTAGTTAAACATTGTTAATATTGTCTGATAGCTGAGTTTCTTCCCGTTAAGTGGGTATGACACATTCATAGTTTGTTAAAGGTCCCATGACATGGCCATTTCTACTGATCATAATTCCATTGTTGAGGTCTACCAGAATAGATTTACATTGTGCAATTTTCCAAACTCACATTGGTTTTTCATACAGCATCTCTATGGTATTTGTATTCACTCTGTCCTACACGGCTTGTTGGAGCTCCTGCCCCTCCCTGTGAGCCCACTGTGCTCTGATTGGTCAGCTCGCCAACTCTGTTCTGTAGACCACCGTTACAACGGAACATCAGTGATTATGAGATACAATGGCATTTTTTAGCAACCAGAAAATGACACCAGTAATGACAAACAGATGAGAATGCTGCGTGGGGTCTGGGTGCCGTGTTGGCGGGACGTTGCGAGGCTCGCCGCTGCTCACACACAGCCTCGCCACGTCCCGCCGTCTCAGGGTGAGAAATCCGCGGAGCTGAAGCTGAGAAAAGATTGAGTTTGTGTGTGTGTGAGAATTTCCGTGGATTAGTCAATTTGGACCAATTCGCGGATTTAACGTAACGGCTCCGCGGACGTAACATAACTGCTCCATTTGGGTCGTCGTTACGTCACCTGGCATTCTGGGGCAGCATAGACAGGCCTTTTATGTGTTAGAGTTTTACTCGCTACAGGGTGTACTTTGAGGGTTTGTAACTCTGCAGACCGTTTACATGCATAAAAAGCTACATAACACACAAGGGGACGGGTAATAACCAGAAAAGCATGACATGGGACCTTTAAATGTTAAGAAGCCCTCAGACGCTGTTTCTTGCAAGATGTTGTCCCAGCGAAAATTTTATTGCAGTATCATTACTTTTACATAAGAAGGTGCTGTACATTTTTCTGTTAATACTTGTATCCTTTTACTTAAATAAGGTTTGAATGCAAGATTTTCATTTGTAACGGAGTATTTTCATTCTAGAGATGTAAGTCTGTGAACAATGCCAAATACAATTCCTTGTTTACATTGCAGCTAGTGCTAAACTGGAAGTGGAAAGGGGCTGGGCAACATGAGGTGAATTGAGCCAACAAAAATACACAATAGGTGGGACTAAGAAAGATAATATGAAAGTATAAAAACAAAGGCATTAATTAGGGCTGCAAAATGTCTCCCATAGTAATGGTGATTAGATTTTTAGATGCCAACACTTAACAGTTTTTTTTACTGTGTGCTTCCTGTTTGCTGCAGATGTCCAGCTGCTGGTGGTGGTTAAAGAAGAGCTTCTCCCTGACCAGCAGGAGTGGAGCACCAGTCTGATCCAGGAGGACCCAGAGCCCCCCCCACACATTAAGCAGGAACAGGAGGAACTCAGGATCAGTCAGGAGGGAGAGCAGCTTAAGGAGCTGGAGGAGGCTGATATCACCAAGTCCACTTTCACTCCTGACCCTGTGAAGAGTGAAGATGATAAAGAGAAACCTCAGTCCTCACAGCCTCATCAAAGACAAACTGAACACATGGAAACAGAAGCTGATGGAGATGACTGTCGAGGACCAGAACCAGCCAGGAACTCAGATCCAGAGAGCAGTTTACAACCAAAGACTGAGGACGACACTGGAGACTCTTATGAACCTGACACTGGAGACTCTTCTGAACCTCACGCTGAACACAGTGCTGATTGGAAGGAGACCAGAGAACCTGCGTCAGGCTCCAACTCACTGAAAAATAGACAAGAGTCTGTCAGTGATTCAAGCCGTAGTGCTGTAAAGAAACAATTTGGCTGCTCTGTGTGTACGAAATATTTTACAAATACAAGAGATGTAAATCGACACATGACAATCCACACAGGAGAGAAACCCTTTAGCTGCTCAGTTTGTGAGAAAGCTTTTTCACGGAGTGGACATTTAAAGCGACACATGAAAGTCCACACAGGAGAGAAACCCTTTAGCTGCTCAGTTTGTACCAAATATTTTGCATTGAGTGAAACTTTAAAAAAACACATGATAATCCACACAGGAGGGAAACCAATCAGAAGCTCAGTCTGTAAGCAATCTTTTTTACTGAGTGGAAATTTAAAGGAACACACGAAAATCCACACAGGAGAGAAAGCCTTTAGCTGCTCATTTTGTACCAAATCTTTTGCATTTAATGGCAGTTTTAAAAAACACATGAGAGTCCACACAGGAGAGAAACCATACAGATGCTCAGTATGTAAGAGAACTTGTTCACAGAGTTCAAATTTAAAGAAACACATGAGAATCCACACAGGAGAGAAACCATACAGATGCTCAGTGTGTAAGAAAGCTTTTTCACAGAGTGGAAGTTTAAAGGCACACATGAGAATCCACACAGGAGAGAAACCATACAGATGCAATGTTTGTGACAAAATATTTAAATGGCGTAGTAATTTCAAAAGTCACGAGTGTGTTGGTCAACAGTCCTCACAGCTTAATGATATTCAAACTGAGGATAATGGAGAGGCAGAGCCTCCAATCAGCAGTTCAGCTGAACACATGGAAACAGAAGCTAATGGAGAGGACAATGAATAAGTCATATGACTGTTCATACATGAGAAAAATCTGTCTGACTGGATTAACATTGTTGCACAACATTCATATAAGACTTAAATGAACTCCATCTTTATCAACATAGGTGGACAACATGTTTAATGTTTTTGCCATACTAATTTTCTGATTTATACCTTAACCTCTTAAGCCCTGAGCCTGTTTTTCAGGTTTCAGGCTCGAAAATGCCACTAACACAACAAAGACTATATCTTCACTTCTAAAAGGGGTAAATTAAAAATCCTTTCTCTCACAGCAAGGTTACATCTGGGAGTTGGATGTAGAAGTGTCAGAATCAATATAGATGTTTTTATTTTAAAGTAAATTCAGATGGAACATAGTAAAAACATGTAAATTCTAATGTCCGCCTAAAAAAAAAAAACATTACTTATAGTGAAAACCACCCTTGAATGAAGGGTTAGTAGACTAAAAGCTTTAGGAATCCATACTATAACATATAAGTACCCTGTATCAAGATTGATGCAAAACAAGTGAAATGTTACCTTTTTAGACAGGTTTAGAGTCCAGGCGGACTCTGGGTAATTTGGGAACTATCAGTTCCATTTGACCTTTTTCACTGTAAAAATAATTGTATTACTTTGAATTATCCCTATAGGTATTAATTCCATCCAAATACAACTGTTGTGAAAATAAAATAAAAAACATACTCTGTTATCTGCTGTCCACTCTTTGCTCCGTGCGCTCTGGGTCCTGCAATTCCTGCTTCCTTACGTAGTAAACACTGCGTAGAGTCTGCTCCGTAATATGCTTACGCTGGCTGGCATTCTTTATATTTTACGGAGGACCATATCTCTGGAACCCATTGGTCGATTTGGGTGATTTACACCTTTTTCTTAACCATTACATCCAATAGAATCGATGGGCAGTTCCCAAATCCACGTAAACATTACTATTGCGGACGTAATAGAGAAGCAAACGAAGCATATCTGAAAGTACAAGCCTGAACGGCAAAACTTTATACCCATTATATTGCCATAAATATGATGATGGATTATCAGTAAAAATGTCTACATGACACAAAGACATTGGATTAACCTTGAGCGGCGTTTTTATTCCGTTGAACACAACTTTTGATCACAAATCAAAAAGGTAAGACGTAATTATTGTAATATTTTTGAAACCGGAAGTTGTTTACTTTCTCTTTTCTGGCTGATAGCTCCGCGAATTCGGGGTCGTACAGTGTTGACATTCCATGTGTGGAATCTGTGGAGTCTCAGCTTTAATCAGATATCTTGTTTGTGCAGTTACGATAAGTAATAAGGGCATTTCTACCGTGAGTGCTGTGCAAAAGTCCGTTAGCATTAGTTAGCATTTTTTCGCTCCATGCTAATTCAAAGGCTTGGTATTACTCTTGTGTTTCTTTTAGCTAAAAATTGTTCAGATTGTCAGTTAGCTGAGTTTTCTACCGTTAAAAGGGTATGGAACATTAATAGTTTCATAAATGTTAAAAGCCCTGAGACATAAAACGGTGGGAGGGGTCCACTGGGGGGACCCTCGGGCTTAAGAGGTTAACCACTGACTGTTGATGAATCATTTTATTTTGGATTGAGGGCTCCAAGTTTCCATATAGAGATATAGGATGATTTGATGTATTGTTCTTTATTTCTGAATGTTTTTTATCATTGCTATCCTGTTAATGAGCACTGTTTTACATACATGTACCTGTTATCTGATTGTTTTTGCTTCTGTAACTGTAAGGGAATACATTTGTCTATATTGTATCCTGATGACCTAATGCCATTACATGTAATACGTTACTCCCTAAGCCTGATTTCACCATCACAAATGTTCATTTCTTTGACCCCTTGACTCGACTATTTCTTGTTTAATAATCGTTACATCTCCTCAGGACCAAGTTCCCGTGTCCTGCCTTTCACCTGCTGATCACCCGCTGCTCATTTAAGGTGGACTGACCTTTACAATGGACCACCTAGTCTTAGTGTCTTAATGCAAAAGTGTTGTAAACTGATGCTAGACCAAAAACAAGCTGTTGTGTTGTCTGCTCTCTGCAGGACGGGGTCTGTACTCAAGATTGTTTATAAAATGAAGCTTCACTCTGTTTTTGTTTTCCAAACAACGCCAACAGAGCGATACGTCTTCTTTCCAGCAGATGGCATAAATGTTGCAGGTGTTCATGTTTAGAAGTCCGCTGTGTTTCATCCAAGCTTCCACTTTGTGCTCCGATAATTTTGAAAGTATCCGTTGTATGCTTTTCCTGTTCCAGTAACAAACGTGTAATTCACTGGACAGAGACAAGAGATAGTGGATGGATCCAGAGGAGAACCAGAAGATAGTCCGTATAGAGCAGGGGTAGGCAAGTAAGTAAGTAAGTTTGGCCTTGGGCCAATATTTTGCTGAGCCGCAAGATGGTGGGCCAGAATATAATCAAAGCCTAATTCAAGGAATTGATTTTGGTAAGAGGGCGCAGCGCCCCTGTTTCCCGGTTCATAAAAAACTCTATCGCTGATAACCCTCCCCATCAACACTGATGCGCAGTCAGATCCGCTGATTGGTTCACTGATGATATAGGCGCCCAATCCAGAGCCTCTGGCTAGACTCGCCCAAAGGGAGGCTTGTCCTCTCTAGCCCCATTTCAGTCCCAAAGCCAGGGCTATTATCTGTATTTTAACAGACTTATCTTTTAAATTGAGGTGTAGCCTACTTATTGTTCTCTTCAAAGTTTATTTTTCTCTGAAATTTTAGGGAGGATGGTCCTCCCTTTCCTCAATGGACGAGCCTCCACTGAGTAAAGTAGAGTTATTAACTAGGTAGCAGTGTTATTTAACATACTTTTATTCTGATAAGTATTGTCAAGTTCTCTGGGTTTTTGGCATTTATTTGAGTGTTTGCCCACATTTGAGAGGCTTGAGGGACAACTGGAATCATTTTTCCTTTTCTTTATTTCAACTTTTCAAGGACACATTAGGATTCTTTCAGGTTGAAAACCTTTAAAAAATACCAAAGGACAAAATAAATCAATTACAGCAGTTTTGCTTTGCAATTTCATATATTATAACCTAAATTAATCAGTAACCAAGTATTTTACTCAAACTCAATGTATTTAATAGTTAAATTAGTACTTTAATTGACCTGGTTCCCCCCAACCACACATTTGCCATATGTGACCCGCTCTATTGAAATCAGTCGAAAGTCGGAACGGCTCATTTCAAAATAAACGTGGATTTGCGTAAAAACTAGTTTTTCGGGGTTAGGGTGTTTTGTTTGATTTTAAATAAACAAAGTCTTGGCTTTCAGAATATGACATTTTTATTTCCAAAATCACACGATAAATACATGTTTGAAGCTTGTAAAAGGAAGATGACAGCTCTCACTCACCACTCTGCTCTTCCACAGCGCCGCTTCCCCTCCCTCCGCTGACATTATGAATGTAAGCAGATATGTCGGGACAGAATTTATTTTACCGGACAAATTTGAAACTTACCGGTCATGTTTCAATGATAATAATAAGAATTGTGTAGCAGAGTTTCCGTTAGCAGGTAATCACCGGACTAGGACCGGATATGCTGATGTTTAAAACTCAGTTAATGGGGCTCATTTTTATATTGCTTCAGTTTATAATCGTTACAGATCGAAAAGTTCAGATTCATTTTTCAATGAATGATTCCACAAACAACAAACAACATCATTATTACATTCAAACAAACTACTTGCAGTAGATGAAGTACATTATTCAAAACTTTACATTAACTTTGAATAATAACACAGGAGAAACGGATGCTCTCTTTTCCTCTCTCCTGACAGCCTGTCAGTTTCTCATGCAGCTCGCTAAACAGTGGGCGGGGCTTCAGGTGATTATGCAGAGCTGGGTGTCTCGTCAGACTCAGCAGCTGATCTGATCTCTCTCTCTCGGGTCCGGTTATACTTCACTCGCGTTTATGTCCATATCGATCAGATCCAGCTCTCCTGATCGGCCTTTAAAAAAAATCTCAAAATAAGATTTTATTTTTGATTCTCAAAATTACGGGCCAAATATTATTGCTGGCGGGCCAACAATGGCCCGCGGGCCGCCTGTTGCCGATCCATGGTATAGAGCATTCAGGTTCTGAAAAATATCTATAGCTAGAAAAAAAACATGGGTCAAAAACCTGAATAGAGCTAGAAGATAGCCAGTATAAAGCCAAGAAAGACCCAGTAGCAAGACAGGAAGGAACCAAAAGAGTTTGTATTTTTAGTGTGAATGCTGTGCCACAGCATTCCACTATAGTACTTCAAATCTTTATTCTTCCCCTTATTATTATTTCAGCCAACACTTTGGCTCTCCATAACTTCAGCTTATTTACAACTACAGAAACCATTCAAATATTAAACTATTCAGCCTGTTCAGGAATCGATGGGAAACCTTCAACCTTTTCAAAATATTTCATATTTTTGGAAATATTCAGCTTTTTAAACTCTTTTTTTAACATTGAAGTCAATGGGAGATGCCTTCAAATCCACTTTTCCTACACTTTGAGCCAAATGCTTCTCCTTACACATACTTTCAGCTAGACACTTCATTCTAACTTTCAAATGATCAAAAGACCTTCAGCTATTCAATTCCTATTCAGAATTTTTATATCTTTTAAACGTTTTGAGATATTGAACTTAGTTTGGAGCTTGGTAGAGAGGCCTTTTCAGATTTTAACATTAGTGTGGATGGGAGCAGCTCGTTAAGTCTAGAGTGCTTTGATCTCAAAACAGAGTGGAGCAGTGCTTGAAATTCTCCCCCAAAAATGTTTTAAACTTGCCATAATTCCCAAACCCTACACTCCTCAGACATATTTTTTCATGAAAAACGTAGGAAAACCTCTCCTAGGTTGGAAAATTTAAATAAAATTAAGAAAAAATATTAAACAAAATGCCTCTTGAGGACATGAAGTGACAGATAGTCCAGCTAGCTCCCAATTTATTCCCATGTTAAATTGCTCCGGATCTTTCTTCAGATCAGAGAGAACTACACTTTAGACAAACTTGTCAGATATACTGCTCAATGCATTCTTATGGGACTCAGTGCTGCAGTTGGTTGTCATGGTGTTGCTGGGCAGATTGGAGCCACACACACACACACACACGTCAGTGACATCATCCAATCAGAGCAGACACCATGGAAACTCTTGATCTCTGGGTTTACACACACAGGTGTTTGTAAACATTCAATCACTACTACTTACATTTGATATCTTTATTTAACTCCTTCAGCCTAATTTCAGCTGCAGGAACCATTCAAATATCAAACTATTCAGCCTTTTCAGCACATGATAGGGAAACTTTCAAATTTTTCAAAATATTGTATACTTTTTATAATATTCAGCTTT